GAGCCCGATGCGGGACTCGATCCCGGGACTCCAGGATCATGACCTGAGCCAAAGGCAGTCGCTTAACCAACTGAGCCACCCAGGCGCCCATCTGTCCAGTTTTTAAATTAAACTTTTTATCTGAAGATAATTACAGATTCAACGTGGTTTTAAGAAACAATATAGGCACATCCTCTGCCCTGCACCTCAGTCAGAATATTAACAGATATAATCTACCAAGCTTGTTTCGATTTCCTCATTTTACACGTACTCCTGTGTATTTAGTTCTGTGCAATTTAATCAGTTTGTGCAGATCTGCATTACCAGGACAGTCAAGGTACACTTAAGATGGATTCTAACAGGCACACTCCTTAAGTCTCCGTTTACAAAAAAAAAAAAAAAAAAAAATCACCTCATTCCCCTAACTGGAGACATTCTGGACACTGTAGCTTGGAAGTTACTTATGGGGCAGTAATCACTGCCATGGTCATCAGGGCCATGACAAGTGCCCAGTGAAGTTTGCACTCTTACTTCAATTGCCTGGATGAGACACAAAACGATCGGCCACAAGATGCAGACCACAGAATGGAAATCCCTCACGTGACCACTGAAGAACCTGAGACCGGAGTTGAGATTCCTTGTCCCTGCTCCACAGTGACAGGAACCCCTCACTCTTTCTGACCAGTGGTCTCTGAGCTTTTTCTTGCTGCCTATTCCATCCTCACCGGCTCAAAGTACCTGGAGGTAGCTGCTTTGGAGAAACAGGCAATCACCAGCGTCCAGCTACGTAACTACAAACGAAATAAAAAGGTTTTTTTTTTTTTTTGCGAACATGCAAATTCCTAGCAGTGCGAATATTTCTTTATACCAAACTTCCATGTAAACTGAAAAGGGTCACAAAATAGGTGGCACACCCTTTCAGTATTTTCAGACCACCACCTCTCCTTTGTAGGCAACGCAGACGTGGGACATTAAGACCTCGTGGCACTGCTCTACCAAAGTGAGAGCAGGCTCTGAATGCAAAGACTTCCTGGACTGGAACTATAGGAAGAGCTAAAAAGAGCTGGGAAAGGCCAAGAGGCAAGCTATTCCTTATCTGGGCTGGGCGCTGCAGCAGGGAATTTGTGGGAGGATGGGCAGTCCCTCATGGGAAGGAGTGAGGCGCCCTCTCCTCTGCCCGGACTTCAAGAGCACCCTCCTAGAGCCAGCGCTTTGGCCCGGGCTGCACGGCGGGGGAGGCTCTCGGGGAGGGCCGGGGCAGTGTAGGTGCGTGGAGGACTCCCGGGACCCCCCCACCCCGGGCCTGGGGGCAAAGCGCTTCGGTGCGGGCACAGGCTGGTGGCACAAGGACCCGCGCGAAGCCGCCCGCTGCGCTTCCGGTCTTACCTGGGCGGCCGCAGGCAGCCCGCCGTCCGCGCGAACAAAGGCGGGGGCGCCGGGCCGGCCGCGCGCTCCAAGATGGAGGGCGCCGGGGACTCGGACCTCA